AGAGGCGGAGGGGCTGGAGGAGGGAGTTGGTGAGGAGGTCGGGGAGGGAGAAGAGGTAGTATGAGGCGGCGACGGAGGTGATGGAGGGGTCCTGGCCGAGGAGGAGCATGAGGGGGGTGAGGTTTACCCCGAGGAGGGAGATGGGGATGTTTGCGTCAAAAGTTGGTTTTGTCATGGAATTCATTATATCTTCAGTCGATTACAATAAATTCAAAAGAAATAGCCTTTTTATAAGACTTCTTTTACACAACAAAATGAAAATTATAACTCTTGGGAAATAAACGCAGGATCGTTGTTTGGATCTCTGCTTGCGTGGGATCTTTGCCTGTGCCGGGGGTGCGTTAGCCCGTGGACCACCAAATCACAGATTCTGATCGAATCGTGAGGGGTTTATGATTCTGACTTCGTTTATCGAAGTGAGAACTTGAAACGATATCTTATCAAGGTAAGATAGTCGTTCTTCTTGAAATCAAGTCAAAGCCTGAATATCAAGGAGTTACAGAAGCTCGAGTACTCTGCCCTCTCTCTGCTCTGTCTGCTCTGAAGTGCTCAAAATGACCAGCCTCTGTCAGAAATAACCCTCGGGGGGTATTTATAGCCTCTGGGGTTCATAACTAACAAAACTCAACAAAAGACAGAATTAATATGGCGAGACAGTGTTTACTGTCTCGCTGGCCGAGACAGTGAAGACTGTCTCGCGTGGGCGAGACAGTAAAAGTCTGTCTTGCCCGCGAGACAGTAAAGACTGTCTCGCACGGCGAGACAGTCAAGTCTGTCTCGCGTGCGAGACAGTAAAGACTGTCTCGCGTGCGAGACAGTCTATACTTGTGTTCTTTTTGACATTTTGGATGACTTCCTTTTGAGCTGTGTTTGGATATCTCTCAGCATTTTTTGACGCCTACAGATACCCCCTCCAAAGTATTCCAGACTCAATCTTTTATAGAGGAGTTCTGGGATGCTTTGGATAAGATAGGTCTTACTTATGATCCTTTCCATGCTTGGTTGGGTAGATCGTATAGAAGAACCTGTAGATGGCTTCAACACTTGATCTTTTTGTCTCTCAGTCTATTCAGTGCTTTCTAGAATAGCTAAGATCCTTTCGGCATGGCGTTCATCGCTTGACCGTCGTCGAGATCTTGAATTGAAGCTGGAATTTGTACTTATGAATTCAGCTTTTGTCATCAAATTGATACCGTATTGTTAATTACTGTATCAGTCTTCATAGGAACACAGTTTATACTCATGTATTTTTTTTTTTTGAGTTCTCGGGAAATAGTTTAACCTCGTATACCCGTTGGGAGGTAGCCAGGTTATTCTTAAGAATATTTTGAGTGATATTCTCCAGAAACTTCCTGTTGATGGTAGGGAAACAGTTTAGACTCGTGTACCTATTGGAGTAATATGATCTCTTTTTTATTGGTAGAGATGAACCCAATGATGGAGAGGAAGAATTTTATATTCTATCTCCTGGTCTCTTGTTTGTTGGTAGAGATGAACCCGATGATGGAGAGGAAGAATTTTATATTCTATCTCCTGGTCTCTTGTTTGTTGGTAGAGATGAACCCGATGTTGGAGAGGAAGAATTTTATATTCTATCTCCTGGTCTCTTGTTTGTTGGTAGAGATGAACCCGATGTTGGAGAGGAAGAATTTTATATTCTATCTCCTTGTCTCTTGTTTGTTGGTAGAGATAAACCCGGAATTGGAGAGGAAGAATTTTATATTCTATCTCCTGGTCTCTTGTTTGTTGGTAGAGATGAACCCGAAATCGGAGAGCAAGAATTTTATATTCTATCTCCTGGTACAATAAAATTTGAAGTGGGATTTCTATTCAGAGAATCTGAATAAGGTTTGATCAATTGAGATTGGAAGCAATCCTAACTTTTATAGATTTGATTGCGCAACTCGAAGGTGGACCTCTTGTTCATGGAAGGAATCAAAAGGGGATTTTGGCTTTGGTCCTAACTGTTTAAAGGTTTGACCAAGGTGGGAATTTAAGACGATCCTAACTGTTTAAAGGTTTGATCGTTCAATTTGTGGACCTCTCGTTCATGGAACGAATCGAGAGGGGATTTTGGCTTTGGTCCTAACTGTTTAAAGGTTTGACCAAGATGGGAATTTGAGACGATCCTAACTGTTTAAAGGTTTGATCGTTCAATTTGTGGACCTCTCGTTCATGGAACGAATCGAGAGGGGATTTTGGCTTTGGTCCTAACTGTTTAAAGGTTTGACCAAGATGGGAATTTGAGACGATCCTAACTGTTTAAAGGTTTGATCGTTCAATTTGTGGACCTCTCGTTCATGGAACGAATCGAGAGGGGATTTTGGCTTTGGTCCTAACTGTTTAAAGGTTTGACCAAGATGGGAATTTGAGACGATCCTAACTGTTTAAAGGTTTGATCGTTCAATTTGTGGACCTCTCGTTCATGGAACGAATCGAGAGGGGATTTTGGCTTTGGTCCTAACTGTTTAAAGGTTTGACCAAGATGGGAATTTGAGACGATCCTAACTGTTTAAAGGTTTGATCGTTCAATTTGTGGACCTCTCGTTCATGGAACGAATCGAGAGGGGATTTTGGCTTTGGTCCTAACTGTTTAAAGGTTTGACCAAGATGGGAATTTGAGACGATCCTAACTGTTTAAAGGTTTGATCGTTCAATTTGTGGACCTCTCGTTCATGGAACGAATCGAGAGGGGATTTTGGCTTTGGTCCTAATGTTTTTAAGTCCAAAGCAAATCTCGGTGGGATGAAGAACCCTTCTGTGGTACGCACAATAGTTTGGATCCGTAATCCTCTTAGCTCCATCCTGATCTTTAATAGGTGGTAGCTCGATTTTGTCATTAGCGAGGAGGTATTCCAATATGGCTGGAGCTTCATCATCTTCGAAAGAATACTCCTTTTGGAACCTCGGATCGAGAGTTGCGTTCACAGGAATTGTGGATGTCGTCGGTTGACCTCTCTCAACTTTCTTTCTTTTAAGAAAGTGTTCAGCTTGTTCGCCACGTAATTTCAACTCTTTCCAAGTTTTGGATAATGTTCAGCTTGTTCACCCCGAGATTTTAACTCCTTCCAAGTTGTGGATGGCACGACCCCCAGAGCTTCCAGGACATCGATGGAGAGGTTATTGTGGCATGTTTGCAGGATGAACTCCTCTGTAATAGGATCTCTGCAATTCATCGCCATGTTACGGAAACGCTTGACAAAATTGTCGACTGACTCTCCGTCTTTTTGCTTCTCATTCAAAAGGGTTCCGATTGACACTTCGGTGTCATCATCGAAGAAGTTGCTGAGGAACAAACTTTCCATGTCATCCCAGCAATTGACGCTCTCTGGCTTGAGCCGTCGGTACCAATCGAAGGCGGACTCAAGTGCTGAATAGGCGAGTTCTTCCCGTCAAACGGTGTGAAGTTAATCATGTTGAATTTTGCCGGGTACGGTATTGAATCCCATTCTCTTGGATAGGGACATGGAATACCCATCCTCTTCACTTCTTGAGCCGTCATCAAAGCGTTGACTTTGTTTTCAAGCTCTTTCATTTTCCCGTCATCGTCTATGTCTTCATTCGAATGACGTTGAGGAGAATGAGTTAGACCACCCTCTGTAAGAGGTGCCATTGAACCACTCCCAATATCGTTATTAGGAGAATGTGTTAAACCACCCCTAGCGTTATTGTTATTGGGAGGTGTATCAGCCATAATGACTTCATCCACTTCTGGATCACTGTCATCCACAACTTTCTGAGTGTGGCGGCTGGATTCAGTTCTTTGACTGGACTCAGGGGGTTGAGGCCGCTGAGCTAGCAATTCTCTCATTTGTTGGATAGCTAACTCCATTTCTGTCTTCACTTCAGCTCTAATTTCTTCACGTTGTTTGGCTAGAGCTTCGCTTCTTGAAGTATTTGAGCAAACTGATCAGAAGTGATTGTGAACACTTCTTTGGTTTGTCCCGTGCTAGACATTGTATCATCAGAAGCGATTGCAGAATAAGTGTCCGAGAATTCATCCTCCGAGGACATTCCTTCTTGCATTCTTTTGTAATCTCTGCGTCTGATGGCTCCTAATTGGAGTCGAGACATCCTTTGAGCAATTCTTGGATTGACTTTTCCTTTCGGAGAAAAGTCGGGATTTGAGTCACTTGAATGCCGCTTAGACTTTCTTTTATCAGCCACGTTGATGGTGACTTCAGGGAATTCATTATCTTGGACAGCTGATCTTATAAGTCGTGCACAGGAACAATGAGAGCGAATAATTCTTTTTCGAAATTTATTCACACCCCCCATTTGATAATACGATTCATCGGTATGATTGCCAAAAAATCGTATCGTCTGTTGGCATGACCTCTCAGGTATGACGATATCATTTGGTGAATGCGTCTTCTTCTGGGGATGTAAAACCTTGTTGGCATTCTCAGGATAATTTGTTTTTGTCTTTGAGCGATCCAAGGTTATGTAGGGAGTCGCACGTTTAAAACCACCCCCTTGCTGGTATGGAGTCTTAACGGGCTCCGAATGCTGATTTTGCACAACTCCAGACTTTGGAATCCAAACTTGGCTCCTTCTTCCTTTCTCGTCTTTGTTGTAAGAGAGTACGGGCATGAGCAGCGTTTGCACGACGTTTTTGTATGCGTTCTTTGAGGGTCGAACGAGTCCTTCTGACAGTAGTCCATTCCTCCGTCGTGAGTTTAGCAGAGACATGAATGATTGGTTGTTGAGACAACTGAACCACTCAATGTCTCCTCGACTCTAAGTTCGCATGATAACGAACCCCGTTGGTTTGTTCCAACGCTTTAGCCATTTGGCGAGCGCGGCGCTGACATTGTCTCTGACGAGCTCTCTTCGTCAATGCTGGCAGGCTTTGATTCGATGA